TTTGTTTGTTTATTGTTCTATTTTGTTTTAGTTAAAATGGTTAAAGAATTGTTGAAAATTTTCTCTTTGATAAAATCACTCTTGAATTCTCTTGAAACTACTGTTTAGAGAAAATCATCTCTGGAGAATAAACACTTAAAGTTCTTGCTACTTAGAGAACCAAATTCTTGAGGTTCTGTTAATCCAAAAAATTTGTTTTAGTGTTCTTAAATCAAATGTCTTTAAGGATTGTGCATTTAACATGAATAGATTTCAGCATGTTTACATTTATCCAAATTTATAAGGTCATTGGCATTACAGCTCATAAAAAATCATTTGTAAGAAAGATTAAAATTTCGTTATCCTTAAAATTCATTTGCTTGCTTTCCACTAAAGTTAATGGTTTTGGTAAATCATTACCATATTCAAGTGTGTCTATGTTTTAAACACTTCATATTCATTAAATATGCACCAAAGAAATATTTTTTAAAAATACTTTTGCCTATGCACGACTAGGCTAATAAAAAAATTCTCTAGAGATTTAAAGAACCTGTTTTCATAGCCTACGCGATACAGTAAACGTTTTAGAGCTCAGGAAAAATTCATTATAAATGATACTACACATGCCTGGTCCTCAAGTATTTTAAATTAATTTGCTCTGATAAAAATGTACAGTAGTAGGTTTCTGGGTAAACTATTTATTAAGTGCATTTCCTTTTAGTTATCTCTAATATTTTGCCTCTCAGTTTGAATAGCCACTTATTTTTATTTAAGAAGAAAAACACAGAGTAATTATTTTTTTTTCAGTACTAATCTTTTTTCTTTAAGTAACATACTCTTTTTCCTCCCACAAACAAATCCTAGTCTTTAAATAGTTGTCCTTTTTCCTTTCTAGTTATATCTCAGTGGCAATCGCTCTATTCTCTTCCCTCTTCACACCCACCCACCCACGCACGCACCCATGCACACACGCGTGTGCATATCGTGTGTGTGCACTACAGGATTTCTGTCTGCATCTCTGTTTCTGTATCTTTCTAGCTTCCTCTCTGATTCTTTCTCGGTACCCTACTCCCCGCCTTCCCCTATGTCTCCCTCTCTATGAAATCTGCTCTTCAGAATTAAAGCACAAATAAAATAATCCATTAATTTGCCAAGATTATGTTTATAAAAGAGAGCAAGCAAGAAAGAAAACTGTCAGTTTTATATCGAGAGAACACTGCTGCCATAGGAGAACTGCAGGAGCTCTTGTTTTTAAAATGTTAAATGTAGGATTAAGTTCTGCCTAATGCCTTTCAGAGGGGTGTTTACCTATTAAAGATAAACTTGTTTATCTGAGGTGAAATGCAAGATTAAAAAAGTTCAGATGTCTATGAAATACAAACACAATTTCATTTATTTATGATCACCAACATGCTGTAATCAAAGCAGAACTCATTAGTCAGTGATCACTCGATTCATTTTGACATGTGTTTCTTGCAGCAAGAGAGGGAAAAGAGGTGAAATTCGCGGCATAGAATGACAGGAACATTTAGGAAACAGAGTTTTATTTGTTCTCCTGTTGGGAGAGCTAATTACTCATCGATTTGAGACCTAATGTCTTGATAAACATATATTGATTGAACCTGATTATTTCCTGCAATGTCAGAAACATTCACACATATTTGTGTTACTACAAAAGCTATGTAATTTATTGGTAGGCGCTAATGGCTTTAATGAAGTCAGAAAGCTTCAAGTGGGCAGAAGTAATGAAAGGAAGATTGCAATCAGTGAATTTTCTAATTCTCCATTCCAGCTACAAATATTAGCCTATTTTGACTCGTTAGCCATGTTCATGTTTATATAATGATTCATTTACATAAATAGGTCTTTAAATAGGTTTAAAGTACACCAACATCCAGTGCCCAATTCAAATTCGGAAAACAAAAGAAAAAGGAGTCCAAGCCACTGAGAGAGATTTAAATGTGTAGTTGGACTGGTGAGAAACACAATGAACTAACTAGTGAAATCTGCAACAAATGGTGAACTCAGCCTCAGCCATATGGGTCTTAGTGAACGGGCTACATTCTTCCAGTCTAATGGCCTTTGAACTTGCAATTTCCTCGCTTGGGATGCTCCTTCCAGACACATGCATAGTTCTCTGCTTAAGTGTCTCATCAGAGAAAGCTTTGCTGACACCCTATATCAAATACGTAAAATAGCATCCCCATCTTTGATTTTTCTTCTTAGCTTCATATCTTCACTGACCTGGTCCATATCTTTTTTTTTTTTTTTTTAATTTCTATAGGTCTTATCCACTAGCATTTACTTTGTTCCTTTTTGTATACTGCTTTCCTTAGCTCCTAGAGAGTGTCTGGTGGGCATTAAATATTTGTTGATTTGACTAGAAGGTAATTGTGAAGCATTAACACCATTTATTTTGACTAATATCTCAATACAATGTGAGTCACTGAAAGAAATGGAAGATATGATTCTTCTTTTTAAGATGCTTATCATCTATTTGGTGAGAAGAGCCTGTCACCCATTATATTAGCTATGTAACAAATTAACCCCATGTTGCCATGTAACAAATTAACCCCAAACATTAGTAACTTAAAACAATGAGCATTTATTATCACACACAGTTTCTGTGGGTCAGGAATTGAGGAGTGCTCAGCTGGGTCGTTCTGGCTCAGAGGGTCTCATGAGCTTGCAGTCGAGATACTGAGCTGTGGTCATCTGAAGGCGGGACTGGCGCTGGAGGGTCACTTCCAGAAGAGCTCCGTCACATGGTCGTCGGGTTAGTGCTGGTGTTGGCAGAAGGCTTCAGTTCCACCACATGGACCTCTGCTTGAGTGCGCTCCTGCTGCACAGCTGGATTCTTCCAGATGAGGGATCCAAAACGAGAGTACAGTGGAAGCCACAATGTCTCTTATGACCCAGCCTTGGAGGTCAGAATGTGTCATGTTTGAGATACTTTCATGGTGACCCAGGTGAGCTTTGTTCAGTGTGGAAGGGGGCCAAGCAAGGGTATGAATCCCAGGTGAGAATCATCTTGGAGACTGGCTACCACACATGAAATAAAAAATGAAGCACACATGCCCATGTGTAATTAAGTACTACATGATAAACACATTCAAGGTTCAATCAGATTTGAGAATACATAATTAGAAAGGCCAAGTCAGATGGCAAATTTAATCCTTATTTGGGCAAGCGTGTTTAAACATTTATAAACAGTATTTATTAAGCACCTTGCTTACTGTGCCAGGTCCAGGGATTATGAATAAAGCCCAGACCCCAGGAAGGAGGTACTCATAGTCCATTGTGTGGAAGGTAAAAATTTTGGAGCAATAATGGTTTTGAATGAATTTAAATACTTTGTGTAGGAGGGAAAGAACTATCATCCAAAGCCAGTTTTTCTCTGGGCACTAAAAGCGAAAATTACAAATACATAAAATAATCACACATGTCAATGGAAAATAATGCTTCATGCTCTCACTATAAGCAATTTCAATTTAATACAAGAAAGGTGGATTTTAGGAATAGTCATCTAGGTAACCTAAGATCAAATACTCACCGATCATGATTATAATACCCCAGGGGAAGCCATGTGACTACCTCAGTAAAAGAAATCAGTAGAAACTGATGTTATTCTCTCAAGCACCTCGACTTCCCCACTCTTGCCCAAATTGGAATGTAACTTCCTAGATTTTTAAATTTCTCAGTCCACCAAAACTTTTTCCAGTCCAATGACTCTCCAAACTAGTATTTGTGACGACAGTGATTGACCGAAAGGACATTTAATGTCTAAATCAAGGGACCATTGTTTCTTTTAACATTCTCTCCTGCCCATCACCTGATTTATTATTATTCTTATCTCAGTCACACATTTCAGCCTGCATCTATGGCCTATGTTCATGCTAATTTTCATCCCTCTCTAAGGAATTCGGGAAAAAAATCTACCATCTCATAGTCATTTAGTCGATGTTCCTTAAGACAGAGATTAACTCAATGCACTACTTTAAGTAACACAAAATTCAAGTAGAAACCAAACCCCAGTCTAGCAGAGAAACAGACACTCATACACCTCTGATGGAAGATAATAAATGATAGCCATAAAAAGCCTTGCAACTGTGTAGACAATCTCACTTATTAATTCCTCTTCTAGGAAAGACTTGAAAAAAAATTAAGGTACACAAAGATGGAATGAGAAGGATGTTCATGACAGAGTGGCTTATAACTGTATAATTGGAAATGCAGAAACAAATTAAATGTCCATCAAGGAAGGGAGTATTTCATTGTATGGTTAAAAATACAATGAAATACTAAGCAATCATTAAAAAATCATGTTGTAGAACAACATCTTATGACAATGAAATACATTCACAATATATAGTTAAGAGAAAAAAGCGATGGAAATAATTACGTGATTGTTGTTCCATATGTGCATTTAAGAGTACATATTTACTTGGAAATAAGGTTGTAGAAATTTTTAAATGTCAACAGTGATTTATCTGTAGTTGGTAGAATTGTAAAGTGATTTGCATTTTCTTACTGGAATTTTCTCTTACTCTTATTCTTGTCCCCTGGCAGGAGAACATGCCTGGGCTAGCTCATTGAAGATGACAGGTGATGCATGAAGCAGAGCTGAGTTGCCCATTTCCCCATCTGAGACTTCCCTAGATCATCTGACTGCTAGCTGGTCCCTGATAGACAAATAAGCCTAGCATGATCAACAGAAGAACCACACCTAAGCAGACCTGCAGCCGACCACAGACACACAACTGAGATCACCTGTAAGTAGCCAAATTGGCTGAACCTTGCAGGTTCCCAAACTAAAAAATGTGCTTTGTTGTTTGCCCCTGGCATTTCATGGTAGCCCAATACCCTGCATTACTGTAGCAATAGATAATGGAAAGAACTAGAGCTTGTCAGCATTTGGGGAACTGGAAAAAAAAAAAAAAAAAAAAGCAATGACCACCTGAGATTCAGTCCAAAGGTGTTTGAGTATAGGGCTTGTTGGAAAGCGTTTTTGAACAGGCGAGACTGGCAGAAAGTTTTAAATCAATATCAAAATAGAACTGGTGTTCTAACCCACGCAAGGCACTATGCCATGGTCTGGGTGGGTCACGAGTGGAAGGACACGGAGCCCCCACCTCCTGGAGCTCACCCCGCAATAATGAGAATTTCTCTTGACACAGATAGATACCACTCTCAGAGAGTTAGCAACAATCGTATTAAAACGCTACAGCCCCAAAGAGCTTCAGATTGCTGAAGTTGGTTAAAAATGCATTAGCTCTTCTCCAACACAATTCTGAAAGCACAGTAAAATCAAAAAGTCTGCGCTAGCCACCCGATGAACTTGAAGTAATGAGGTCTATAAGTTGACTTGAACAGAGGAGAATGATATTAAGCTTTCATGGAGGACAAATGAAAGTATCTACCTGTAACCTTTCTGATAGCCAGAGACCCTTTGCCATTTAAAACTCTGCTGCTGTGGCGCGTTATTCCCAGGCAGCTGAGAGTTTAATAAGACTTCGCCGAGACACCTCACCTTCCAGTCCCCGGCTGCTTGCTGGCAACCCTACGGCACTCTCCGAGGAAGCTGACAATCTGAGCTAACATCGGGGCACGGATTTCCTCAGATAGAGGGGCACCGGCTGGCATAGTAATGTCTGCCCGCTGCCCCCTCCGTGCATGCAGATCGCACCACGGTCTGATTCCAAGCCAGTCGCAGCGCCTGGCACCCTTGGGGTTGATCTTGGAGATTCCGCTGGTCCTTGCTCTTCCTTACCAAAATACCCGGCTCTCTTGCTGAACGGAGCGCTGCCCCTTTAGTGTGATATGCAAGGCTTTCTTTGAGCAAAGCCCAACCTTCCTGGTCCAGCCTTCATTCCCAACATTCTTCCCATCAAACCCACCATCCACTGTGCTCTGCTTACTCGGGTTAGGGTTATCTGCTCTTCCTCTGTGCTTTGTCCAGCCTGTGACTCTCATGGTCTCCAGCCAGCCCACTCTTCTACCTTCAAATTCTGGCTTTGCTTCACAGGTCGCTCTTCCCAACTAGACTATAAAAATAGCGGTGATACTTACACAGCAGCCAATGCGCCAGGGCCTTTGCTAGGTGCCTTCCCCATTTTCACTCATTTCATTCTGTTCAACCACTCTAGGAGATTAGTATTGTTATTACTATTATTATCATCACCATCATCCCAATTTTCAGAGAAAGAGAGTGAGGCACAGAGAGGCTAAGGCAGCTTGCCCGAAGTCAGAATCAGTTCCACAGGGTTGGAGATCAGGTGTGTCTTGGTCACTGTTGTATTACTCGTGCCTAACACGAAACCTGGCCCATAGTACTGAAGGAGGGAAGGAAGAAAATGCCTCCATGAAGCTGTTTCTGGAGTCAGAATTAATCTCACTCTCCTCTCCTTTCACATCTATTCCCCAGTACTTGACACATAAGTACCTAACACATAACCTCATAAGGTTGGACCCCCAATTCCAAATAATCTGCACTTTCATCACACACTGCTGCACATCCACACCCTAACCCTCGTTTGCTGGGAAGAAGTCAGGCTTTCCTAGATCAGGTAGTTTCCAGCTCTGGTTCTGCCTGAGAGCAGTGGCCGCTGAGAGAGGAGACCAGGAGTCCGTGGGAGAGGTGGAAGAAAGACCACAGGCAGGGGTTGGAGGCTGTGTGGCTGCCACTTACCCTGAAGAAGCACAGCGCTGCCCCCTCTGGAGTGAAGGGGTTCTGAGAGCTTGCGGGATCATTTAGAACTACCATCCGAGATGAGTGTGCCTTGCCAATCCCCTCTCCTGTGCCTCCCACACTTTGGATTCATCCACAGTAGCAGGGGAAGTTCTAGAGGTTATGGAGGAACGGGGGCAATGGATGGCAGCCAGACAACTAAACAGGAAGTGGAGAGGATAAGTGGTGGTGATCATATTGAGGACCTGGGGGTCTCTTCCAGCTGTGTTGGTAAAAGTACTGAGTCCCCTTAGGTCAAGACTTTATCAGGTTTAAAGATCAGGTGTCATTGTCATTGGCCTTCTCTGTAATTCGAGAAGAACCAAAGGAGGGACTTGAGTAGGGAGCCCTAGTTCTCGCTTGACTCCCTCCATGAATAGCTATTCTGTTGGCAGCTAAGGGCGAAAGCTGTCTGTAGACGTCAAACTCTGTAGGGTGGTTTCTCACTTCTGGCAGGGGGCACCTGACACAGAAGAAATTGTATTAAGGGATTTTGTAATTAGTGACTCTCAGCTATCTAGAAAGAGACCTCCCTTCTGCTTTCAGACATTCAATCTTCAAATGCACTTTATTTTGTGGACCACTTACATATTTTTATGTTCTTCCACCACTGGATTGTAAGCTCCAGAAGAGAGGGGGCATGGCCACATTCATAGTTATCTCCTGCCTGCTCCTTTCCCTCTGCAAATTGCAAGAGGGCTGTTTTACAAAATTTTATACTTATGCAATTTAATTGTATGTCATAATAAGCAAGTGTCACTGCTAACATAGACTAATTCTGGTCAAATATTTTGGTGAGCTTCCTGTCTTTCAAAAGATCTTTGGAGCCAGGGCCGAAAGTCCAACTGCTGGAGGAGGGCATGCTGAACACAACCCAGGTTCCCTATGAAAGGCATCCATACATTTACTGGAACACATCCAAAATGCCACAGAATCCTGCCACTACCCATCAATATTAAGACTTTCTTCCCCTTTTTCTTTTTTAACCGAATGTCTGTGAAGAAAGCAAGGTGATTTAAAGCCCAAGCTGAAATTCAACAGTGAGATGTCCCTTAAAAGATAGACATTGCTCTTAACACACCCATCAGAGAGAAGATCACATGCCCCTAGCATCAGTTTCCAAAGATTCATTTTAAAAAAGAGGAAAAAAGGAACTCTGATATTGATGACTAATAGAGTAATACAAAAGTAAGTGATCATTTCAAATGTATAATTACATTTTAGCCCAGTAATTATTAATTGCAATGTACTTAAACACATACTGTTTCCTTCAGAAAGGAGAGGAAATAAAGTTGATTTACAAAGCACTTTCACATAAAATATCTCATTTATTCCTCACAACAATACTTTTGCTTAGATAGTTCCATCCCCATTTCACATATGAGGAAACTGGATGCTCAATCCACCACCCACCTAGTAACCAGATTATGAAACAGTATAGATAGTAATCAAGGGCATGGGATCTGGAACAGACAGAAATGTACTCAAATTCTGGCCTTTCCATCTACTGCTCATGTGACTTAGACAAGTTAATAAAATCTGGACCCCAAACTAGATTTTGCAACATAAAATCCTATGATACCATACCAAAGGGCTAAGGAAGACTTGAGGACCAGAAATGGGATGGAATTATATGCATACTCTTCTTTGCCAAATGAGACATTCCACCATTATGGGCATATCTTCACCTTTTGTAAACACTAGAGAGTCTAAAAATACTTAAAAGGAAGAAGTGACCCACTCTTATGAACCCTTAGTGATAGGTGGTGTTGGTACCCTATTTACTTATAATATCTATATATATGCTGCCTCCATGATAAAGCAATCTGAGGCACTTTACAATAAAATTCACCACTGTGAGCTGGGCAGGGAATGGGCTAAGCCTCCCCAGTTGAGGAGCCAATCTGGACCAGATCCAAAAAAAGCTGGGAGTGTCACTGGGCACAAGGCCTTGCGCTAGCACTCTGGGTCCATCCCAGGAGGCAGGGCTATTTTGATAGTAGCTCCATCCTGAGAAGAAAACATCCCACGGGCCAGATACAGCTGGAAAGCCGCCACCAGAGCTGATTGGTGAAACTGTTGCTGGAACTAAGAAATCAGGTGTATTCGTTAACTATTGCTACAATAATGCTGTGTAACAAACCACCCCAAAACTCAGTGGCTAAAAGCAAAACACTTTTTTTCTATTCAGGATCTACAGATCACCTGGGGCAGCTCTGCTTCATTTGGCACGTCTCTGGGCCTGGGTCTTCTCCTTGGCCTTTCATCCTTCCTGAACTAGAGGGCTTGCCGGAGCATGTTCTTTTCAAGACGATGGCGGAGGTACAAGAGGTAAAGAAGAAACACCCAAAGCCTCCTAAGTCCTCGACTATAAATTGGTACCATCACTCCAGCTCTGTTTCATTGATCAAACAAGAGGCCAAGGCCAAAGTCACAAGGCAGGAAGTACACTCTGACTGTGACAGAGCCATGGTAATTATGCAGTGCAGGAAGACACAAAGAACTTGGATCAGCAACTACTTCACACCTACTTAGGCAGAGTCATTTTTTCCCTACAACTTAGTGGGTTTTCTATATATTTGATTCCAGTCCATTCTACGTGTCAAAGCCACAATTCTTTTCAAGACAGGCTTTTCTCTCCCGATTTAATTACTAGCACTTTGGGCACATCTGCTTTAAGCTTCATAGGAGGTTTAAAAGTCACTTTGTAATAGTTTGTAATGTTATTAGCCACACCCCTGATTGGGTCTTTACCCTGAGGCCATGTTTTTCTGCAAGCCACCTAGATTTGGTCTTTGTCTCTCCTGCTATGATTCAACAACCAGACCCTAGACTTGATCTTTGTCCCCAGGCCATATCTAAATTCGAGAATCTTTTTCTGGCTGGAGAGGCTGAAGATTAGAAACAGCTTTATTTTTTAAGCCAACAACTTCTGGGCTGCTTGCAAACTGTGTTTTATTTGGTTCCGAGCATATCTCCTTTCTTGTAGTATTTACCTATATGCATTTATTTAAAAGCAAACAGCTCATGCTTTCAAAATTTTTCTTGGCAAACGAGTTTCTCCTAGCTCCCCCGCCCTTTCATTTGATTATGCTGCTCACTGCTCTGCGTGCTTACATCATGCAACAAATCAGTGGGTGGAAAAATCCTAATATTTAGATTTGAATACACAGAATGTTCCACTTGAACCTTAAGGTCAAATTTATCTGTACGAAACAACTCTTCTAGAACTCTACTGAGTGATAGCAAGATCTGGCTTAGCCCTAAAGAAGAACTTAGAATTTTTTAATCGTACTATGTTTAGATCTCTTCTTGGAACCATAGAGAAGAAATAAGAGAACAGGATTTGGATATTTCTATTTTGGATTTTCAAAATCTTACCTTTGTCCCTTGGAAGGGCCGCAGGTGCAAATTCTACCAGTCTGGAAGTGTGTGGAACAGAACTATACCATTTGTTAGCCCCAATAAATAGTGGAGTCATGGAATACCAGTTATTTGGTAGAGCATTAGATGATAGAATGGTTTGGTTCCATCAAAAGCATGACACAGATCAGTTCAAGTTCATGAATAAAAGGTTCCTCCTTTTTAAAAATTTTTAAAAAGATTTTATTTATTTGACAGAGAGAGAGTACAAACAGGGGGAGTGGCAGGCAGAGGGAGAAGCAGAAGCAGACTCCCTGCTAAGCAGGGAGCCCAATGTGGGACTCGATCCCAGGACCCTGAGATCATGACCTGAGCCAAAGGCAGATGTTTAACTGACTGAGCCACCCAGGCACCCCAGGGTTCCTCTTTTTAGAGTTAACCACCAATTTCCTCCACAAAGGCTCTAGACTGATTTATAAAGCTTATGATAGTGCTTAAATCTATTAGTGGATGTATAAACTATCTATGGCCCATTACCCTCCACTGCAGAACCAGTGAGTTCAAGGCTGTAGACACTATAGACTTTTGCAAGTATATGGGTGCACACCCCTCTTTATCCCACTGGTGGCAACAAGAGGCTAACCTATCAAAAGTGTATCGCCTGTCTCCACTAGAGATAAAGCTAAGCTTCTTACCTCTGGGAATCCCTGCATAAATTCAACTTTTAGCATAGGGCAAATGGACCAGGACTTCCTGGAATATAGGGCAACAGAGCTGGCTTTGGTGCTTACCTCTCCACAGTCTGTAGATCTAACTGGGGACTCAGCTGCCAACAGACCCAGCCCTTCTATAGGTTCATGGAGGCTGTATACTACGTGGGTTTGGCCCAACTCATTCCAAAGAGGATCAGTCAGCCACTCCACAAACTAGACAAAGAGGGGCTCTTATTCCAACCCAAATGTTTGGGCAGGAGGTCCTGACATATTGCCTTATACCTCCCATATCAAACTTGGTATGACTAGTGTACTTAGAATTTAATCTCCCTGGATGGGCAATATAATTTCCTTATGATGTCCTCCTCTGGGCCCAGCAAGAGGCTCTAGCTATAAAAGTAGGGTGTTGTCCACCTCTAGGCCTGCTTTAGGAGTCAGCATAATCACATATAAGTCCTTGGTCCCAGTGCCCCAGAAGCAGGTTTGTCACCTCAGGTTCTACTGAAAGAAGCATGTTAGTCCATTGGGCCTAGGAGAAACAGGCTGTCAGAAGAGAAATGCTTTGAGACAACAATCGTGGTCATAACTTGCATAGTTTTCTGTGTGTTGATTGTCCTATGTTCTATATATATGTTTTCTAACACAGCAACTTCTGTGGAAAAAAGCCTAGGTTCAGAGAAATTAAAAAACTTGCCTCAGGTCTCCCAACAAGCACTGGGACCTGAAGGCCAGCATTGTGTCTCCACAGTCCCACTGCTCTGCCCTGGTGTATGTTATCTGGCCTGCCCGCCCTGGAAATGCAGTATTTACCAGTAGGAAGGGTTTGCCAGCCAGGCATGATTCTCAGCTTTGAGGATAGAGATGTTAGTTGACTGCTCCTTCATCCGTTTTCCTGAACACATTCTATCTGGAAATTTGAAAGTCTGTATTTTCACATGGACAGAGGCTCCCCTCTGTCCTCTTCTTGGAAGAGGCCTTTTCCCCAAGAGCCTGTTCTTGGAAGGAGATTGAAGTCTCCTCTGCATACTGAGCCAATCCAAATGTTTGTTCTCAGAACCATTTTGAGCTGCTCAAGGGCACAAAGACTTCAGTGGAAATTCCAGACTTCTACAACTTAGAATGTGGCAGAAATGAATTCAGTCTGGAAATTTCAGTATCTTACCTATAGAATCTGACTTGGATGAGCACTGGCTGTTCCACCAAGAGGAATTAGCTGCAAGTGTTCTAATTAGTCTACTACATGGGGGCTTATATCAAACACTTGAATTGTGGGTCAAGTCCTTCAGATACAATCGTAGTCATTTTACAGTTGATTCTAAGAAGTAACAGGAAAATGAGATCAATTACTTCTTGAGACATTTATGAATATAAAATCATAGTGACAAGAGAAAAAAGAAAAGTTTTTCTGAAATGCTATGGAGTAAATTCTGTTGGAAGAAAAAGAGGAAGCCTTAACTTCCACTGTTTTATACCACTGAGAAGTAAATATGATGTATTGAGAGACTATTCATCATCACTCTGGTTCGTGGAGTGGTTTGGAAAGGCAGGCACTGTCAAAGCATGAATAGTTAGAACTTCTGCTGAACTCACACAATTTGGCCCAAACTGGGTATCTGCCCTCCATTTCTAATATGCATGTATTGATTTTTTAAAGATTTTATTTATTTATTAGAGTGTGTGTACGAGGTGGGGGAGGGGCAGAGAGAGAGGGTGAAGCAGACTTTCCACTGAGCGCGGAGCCCAGTGTGGGGCTCAATCTGAGGACCCTGAGATCATGACCTGAGCTGAAGTCAGACACTTAACCAACTGAGCCACCCAGGCGCCCCCAATCTGTATGTATGCTGACCTTCAGTGCACAGCATTGTGAATACCAAGAACCCAGGAGTTGTTCCTACCTCCCCCTACTGTTGCATTTCCATATCCAATCTCTAAATCCTAATAATCCGTTGATATTAAGGTAGCTGGAAGCCATTCCGCTCTCTTCATATAGCACCATATTCAGGCTCTCATAATCTCGCAACTGAATTCCCAAGCCGCCTCCTAACAGGGCCCCTGGCCCCAGTGTTACTCCTGCTCACTCCAACCTCTGTGCTGCTGCTGGTGTGATCTTTCTGAAATGTAAAAGGGATTCCGCTGTCTAAAACTCTCCACTTGGCCCCTGCAGTTATAAACTCCTTAGCCTGTTTACACAGTGCTGCTCATCTGCTGTGGTGGCCTTCACACCAGCACATGGTCACTCTAGCTAATTCAACAAGCAATAGGGCCAAGGTGCTGTATTGCTCTTTCTTCTCTCTCCAAGCTTTGGTTTCTGTTTCCATGTGCTTGGAATGCCCCTTCTCTGACCCCATACTCCCTGGAGAGAGATAGGCATGGAAAGCGAGCAAGTGTGGGCAGTAGAGACGGGTGTGCAACACGATGTAGAAGGACACTCACCAAAACTGTTCGTGGGGATCCCTACAGGATGGGGTGGCAGGGGAGGTGTTAAGGGAGTGGAATTGAATGATATACTTTTTGCCTTCCTATAATGCTTATGGATTTTTTTTATTGAGAATATGCTTAATTTATCTCTTTATATTTTTCACCACATTTTCCCATCCTCACCTTCAGAGATACTGAATCAGTGGGGAAGCATCCAGGATTCTGATCTTCCACAGCCTCCCCACCTCCCCCTAGACTCTGTTAATCAGTTTTGGGAATCGTGGTTGAAATGATTATTTCCCAATATAAGGCAACTGACACCTCTGAGAAAAACGTCAACTCTATTATACAATACTTTTTTATTATTTCCTTTTCTTTTGTAGTAGCTTAATTCCACTACCAATACATATTCTCCTGTCTCTACTACACTTGAATTATCTGTACGAATTATAATAGCCTTGACAGCCATCTAAATAGCCACATTTGAATAAAGGGCCTAAATAATCATTGTAAAAAGCATGTGTTTGTGCAGTAAGTTTATAAACCATTTTAAAATTAAGGCAAACAAGAAAAAAAAGCTACAAATACAAGTATCACGGCTTCTTAAATCCTAAATTTTTAACACTAACTTAAGTACCATTTGATTGGTTCTCAAAACAATGGCTATTCTCAAAGTATAAAATAGAAAGTTATTATAAATATCAGCTTTGGTATAACATATACCTATTTCCCTATTTTCAAGTTTTTGACTTTGGGAAAATATAAACATGTAAGTGTTCTTATAATTAACTTTTGAAAATATTTATAATACCCTAAAATTCAGACATTAGAGCATCTATTTCTTTAAATTTGTTAGTTATATTTTCAATACATTCTCCAGCTTTTAATTTTATCCCATCAATTACAAGATAGTCCTCTTCATAGTGGTTTTCAAATGGACTGCCTGCTGGAACTTCAGGGTTGCACTTAGGTAACTGTAAAAATAACCACACAATTCATCAGAACTACATCAGATTTACTGGAAGAACAGGCTTAATTATTTGAACAAAATGTAAAGTAGTCAGTAACTTCACAAGCCACAGCAGTTACACAAAGCATTCCGTTATGCTGGTGGTCAAATAATGATCCCCATGTAGAGTAGAATGTATAGTAAATGTGTTAATATGAGAAGAACTGATTATTCAGGCCCTATCTCTTCTCCCCAACTTTATACATATTTAGTTTTAATATTAAGCTTTGGGAAAACATGATCAGCTTCATTCTATGAGTTTTCTATATTTGTTTATTTTTCAAATTATTATTATAGGGAATACAACTTAAAACCATTTAAATCACTTTCTCTGGTTATCTTCTCATAAGCCTCTGCATTACTTACAAATAGCAATTGTTTGCTCTAGCTCAGTAGGAAGGGACACTAGTAAAAACAATGCAAACAACCATAAACACACACAAGATTTATAACTTCAAGGCTCATTAAAGGTAGAGTGAACCTCCATGAAATTAAGAAAAAAAATAATTTATACAAGTATTTTCCCGTATCAAAAAATGTACCTTTTAATACAAATAATTATTCACTAAACTCTGTCTTATTTATATATGGCTTATCTAATTCAGGTGGATTTTATAAAAATCTGATATTAATTCCCTCTCATTGCTTGCAAAGCCGGGGCATGACAACCAGTGTTAATATTAGCTAAAGAAGAGTGTAATTAGGAAGGTGACTCTACTAAGGAAAATAATCTTATAAAACATTTCAGTGACAAATAGAAGAGAATTTTGATTATCCATGTGTGTATGCATTTTTTTTTTTAATGTTGCTACTCTCACCTATTGGTATAAATGCTTGAAGAGTAATCAACCTGAACCCTCATACGTGAAATGAAGGATGAAAACCATCAAATTTACAACTTTGAAAAGAGCTCAAACAATATCTGCTCAGAGAATAAACATGCTCAGAACCTTAAAATTACCAGGTGGCTCTTTTGCGGATGTTAGCTTGTAAGAGGCCACTTTCTCCTGCAAACACAACACAGCTCCAGTTTTAAGTGGTGTTAACTTTGGAAGCCATACTAATTTTCCTTACTAACTTAAAAAAAAGAGAGCAAGAAAAAGAAAAGAAAAGAAAAAAGAAAAGAAAAAAAAAGAAACCCCTGAGGTGATCATTTCTTTTCTTTTAAACTGGAAATTGTTCCAGCTTTGATAGTTGGTTTCATTGCTATTCTCCTCATTTAAAAGTGAACAAGGCCCTAAATATACTGAACCTGGTATGAATGCCAGGCTTACAAAGCTCAGTTGCAGAGAAGGGCTTATGAACCAGTCTGCAGGGGGCACTTACCTGCCTGCCAGCAAGTTAAAATGGTTAATTTTTACAATTCCTCATGGCTTTTGAAAGCATAAAATATTACAAGAATCTAAAACAAAAAGCAAGCTCCTGCCTGGTGATATATTAAAACTATGTATTTTACCTTAAGAAACAAAAATCAGAAGTCATTTTCTGTTCTATCATGTTACTGGTTATAATGGTAAAACAGAAGCCAATTCTGTGGCTGTAAAAGCCCCAGGACATCTCTATAAAAATCAACCTGGCCGGAGTTTTGAAAAGACAAACTGCAAAGACTGAAAACACATTGCACACAACCATATGGTGCTCCAACAAAGCACACATTTGCTAGGAAAGAATAATTTGTATATTAATTACATGTATATAATATATATGTCACCAGTCTATAGATCTTGTTTTACAGAAGGTAAGATCTATACAGAGAGAACAAGTTTTCTCAAAAAGGAGCTCTAATTGGAAAAATGGCATTCACAACCCATGCAAATTCAAATACAGGTTGATATTGCTGGTGCTAATTAAGAAAGCTATGTTTTTCAAGTTGGTAAGAGTTTTCAGCATTAATTTTATTTTCTTTTGGCATATTGATCTCTCTAACTGTAACTCTTGTATATTTTGATTTCTAAACTCAAGAAGGGAGGTGTTTATGAAATCATCTTTTTTCTTTTTGGGAGTCCTGAATGAAATCACCCAATTGGGCAGTCTGCCAAAGTGTGTAAACAACCTTGTCCATATACAAATCCACCTTTTTCAGCATCTGAGAAGAGACCCACTGGAGAACAGGTAGTTGCTCCAAGTGAGAATGTGAGAAAAGAGATGAAGTAAGGAAATCTCAGCCCTTACTCTCCGGTGACCGCCACTGCCAATTCTCATCTGTAATAACAGCTAACCTTAGGTGTCAGTTACTATGCAAAGTATTTTTCCCGGTTTGCCTTATTTTAAAAAATCCTCTGTGGCATGTGATAAGCAACTGTGCCAAATTACACAAGTCCTCAACGGCAGGACTAGGAGTGGGACATTGATATGATATTCCAGAGTCAGTGCTCCTAACCATTGTGCTCTCTCGACTCCAGGCACAGTATGTATCTACACAGATGAATGAGAGAATGAATGAAACCTTAAGGATACAGGACTTCTTGCTGCCATTTTTCTCCCTATTTCGAGAACAGCCGTACTGCCTTGTGGAAGTGTCTGTGTTATGACTTATTTTTCTCACACCTACCACATTGCTGCTCTGTATTAATGACCTGGGCTCGCACCCTCATTTTATTTGTACGAACATGGAGCTGATGTGCTGAGCAGCTTGTCAACCAACTTAAAATTTATGTTGCCACATACAAATATTGAATAAAGTAAGCACACACTTACTTAGCCCAACATAGGTAGCCAAAAGAAAAAAAGAAGGAAAATTCTACCTCCAGTGTGTTAATAATGAGGTCTGTCCCTGCAGAGGTTGTTCTGTGCACGAACCAGGTAGGGCAGATGTCCTAGCAAGCTGCTCTTAGCCTGGCCCGTTCTCCTGACTGTTAAGATGGGCAGCAGTGGAGAGGTCTCTCTGCTGTGGCACCCCATCAGCTACTGTGAGCTCCCCCCCATTCCTTCTTCATTCCAGCCTCAAAGATCTGAAATACAAAGAGTTCCTCCGCTCACAGATTTTTTTTTTCCCCAAAGACTGATAGATGTATTCTGACTTTTCAACGGGCTACTAGTTTATTATTAACTTCAGGATAATCAAGGGCTCAAATTTCAGAAGGGAAAAAAAGAGTTCTCCATATAATTAAAATGTACATCCAGAAACAATTTCTGCCATGTAAAGAACCTGAAGTTGCTGTTTAGGCCTGATCATGGGCTACTTTTGCTCCTGCATTTACCTCCTCTTCCCGCTCCTCTTCGGACTCATCAGGGGCCGCGGTTGGCTCTAGCGCCTGCTGCAGCATTTGCTCCAGCTCTTTCAGCATAGCCTCTGTCTCAGAGACAACTAAAAAACATCAGTAAAAAAGGCTACATCTTCATTAATTCAATCAAATCCGTAATCTTAACCACCCCAAAAGAGAACATCGTCTAAATGAGCCAAGATAAAAAAATAAATATTTTGTATAATTTTCATGTATGACCTCTGCTTGATGCAAAATAATTATGGATTTCCAGGTGAATATTTTACACTTATTCCTTTAAAAATGTAGGTGATATTCTTGCTATGGTCACAAAAAGCTCACTAGAAGGGTTTTTTGTTTTGTTTTGTTTTTTTAAATCAGGGCCAAACTAAATTGTTTTTTATAAACCAGGGGTCAGCAAACTCTTCCTGGGAAGGGAAAGAGAGTAAATATTGCAGGCCTTGTGGTCTCTGTCACCACCACTCATTTCTGCTGCTACAGTCCAAACCATAGACATGTACCTTAACAAATGCCAGTCACTATGTTCCTATCAAACTTTATTTACAGAAGCAAGTGGACTGTGGGCCACAGTTTGCCATCCCTCCGTAAATTCTTAAAACTACTGTTTAAAAGGGGAAACCATGTAATTAAATGGCTAGTCTATTCCTAATTCAAACACCAACAAATCTTAATTGCTTAATCTGATATCTATCTGTATCTATCTATCTAATCTATCTATCTATCTATATATGTAGATACAGACATATTTTAAATACCACACTTAAACAAAATTTGCGTGTGTGTGTACTACTGTGACATGAATTTACTGAACTTGCTGAGATAAAATAATAACCCCACAAAAGAAATAAACTATTATATAACTCTATAGACTCAACTACTGACGAATAACATGCAGTTGAATTCCTGACGTAAATAAAATAAACATTTTTGTTTGATATAGTCTTGTTGAAGTAAAAATCAAGGAGACCACGTGTGGCCTGCTGTCCTGTACAACAGACAGATTGAGCATCTGAGAAGCCCTTCCAAAGGCAACATGATTCAAAGACAGAGGCCATGAATACACACCCCATCATTTTCCACTCTGGTGACAAAAAGCTGACATACCACCTCCTATTAGCCACCATTCTTTGGCAGGTCACCAAAAATCACACTAGGTAGAGCAGCTAAAAGTTCGTGGAACATGAAAATAGACCCAAGCAGGACATACGCGTTCAAGCTAAAATATTATCAATGAATATGGAAGCAAGGCATTCTCAGCACTAAGTTTTAATCTAATTGTTGAACATATTTCAAAATTTTCTAACTAATCATGTTTAGGAAGAGTGCATATGATATATGCATCCCTTTATGTGTGTGTGTGAACACACACACAGTCATCCTTGTAAACTAAGCATGTTGTAAGGTAAAAAACAGAGATTGTTAATGTGAAAAGTTTTATGTTTCCTTTCCTCCAGTTCAAAAGAATCCATGTTTTATCAGAATCTTCTTTGTTGATAATCTTCTCTCATCTTTCACTCATAAGAAGGAAATTTTAGTGACTTTAAAAAAAATTTTTTTAAGGTTTTATTTATTTATTTGACAAAGAGAGACACAGCGAGAGAGGGAACACAGCATGGGGAGTGGGAGAGGGAGAAGCAGGCTTCCCACTGTGCAGGGAGCCTGATGCGGGACGGGGCTCGATCCCAGGACCCTGGGACCATGACCTGAGCCAAAGGCAGACGCTTAATGGCTGAGCCACCCAAGCGCCCCAGGAAATTTTAAAATTCTGCTAGAACATTATTAAATAATAGTGTTAAATAAAGTCATGGGAGGTTATGAAATAGAAAATTTTCCCTTTCTTGGTTGTCACTACAGTATAAAAAAATTTTTAGTTAACATTTTTCACATTATAATTTTATCTAATAAATAATAATTTTTCTGTCAATACTTATCACTTGCCCCAAGTACTTTTATATTCATTCAACAAATATCAATTATTTGCCTACTAAGGGCAAGGGACTCAAGAGAGTAGGCACAGACCCATGAACCTCCCTGGCCATCATCTCTTCCCAGCCAGTCTTAGGTTTTCTCTATGGAAGACTTCTTTCAAAACAGTTTGAAAGTAGCATTCTGATAAGCCATTTGCATACCACAGAACCAGTTCTTATGTTTAAAAACACAACAAAAACTATAACTGACCTGTTAGTTTTGTCCACATATATATATGTTCTGTGTAATTGCTAAAGCATAAGAACACAGAGTTTGAACTATTGTGTTCTAAAACAATGGTATTCCAAATTTGGTAATAAGCATAAGAATCACCTGGAGGATTTACTACAAAAACATGAATGCAACCCATGTCTACTGGCTCAGAATTTTCTAGAGGTATGTACATTTTTATTGAAGCAATTTTGTTAATGGAATTAACCTCTCTTTATGATAGATTTCCTACTTGGTAACCTGTTACTTAACAGACAACTACTTGTGGTTATCTTCACACTGATTCTCCAGTCCCACTCACGGATGTTGTCTTTTCCTACTTTACATTCTGAGTCTACAGAAATTGATACTGACATTTAATGCACTGTTGAGAAGATGGATTTTGAGCTACACTGTAAAGGAAAAATGGCACGCAAACATCTTTATATTTCTAAGGCTAGGCTAAAATACAATCAATTTATGATAATGAATGTCATTGCCGAATGGCATTGTAGTCCCTCCATTTTCAAGTGATCTGGAAAAATATGTACACTGCCTTTTGATCAAAGGGTAGACAAAGTAATGGATGACTTCATAAATCAACCAGGGTTCATAACACCAACTTGATTAATGTCAAATTCTGCCACCAGAGCAATGGGAGGTTTGCTTTTCTAAATAGGTATTCCTATATTGTAAATAGATAGAGTTCAAAAATAATTCTCAAGAAACAGCAGTTACTGTAACCTACAAACTAGGTTATCAAAATTGGCCAATGATATCCTTCAAAGATAGAGACAGAATGAATGCTTTTGCTGATTGCATGACCAATCATCTTCTATCAATACTGATTATCTTGTAGTTTCCCTGACTTGTTTCAATTTGTTGTTTAGAGTAAAGTGGTAGCATTACAGTTATTCCATCACTCAGAGAAAATTCTTTAAAAAGGTAAGAAAAAGGTATCTCTTATACGTATCTGGCTTTTAAAAGTGAATTTTTATAAAATGATCTGTGTAGTTTTTCCATCCCTGATAAGAAGTAACTTAGTGCTGGTCTCAATAAATCAGTTGCTATTTTAAAAGTCTTCAAATGTATATTTATAGAGTTTTCTCCAATCTCTACTTTTCTACTAAATCTTTAAAGAGGCTGTTTATTTCCTATGTAAAGAGGCTACTGGTTAGGCTACCTACCCCAAAGCTGGCACTGAAAAATATCATCTTCAATAAACCGTCAGGGTCATTTCAATATTGAAATTTTGAAGGCATTCTTATGGAAGAGGGGGAGGAGGACAAAAAAGTACTTGGGTTTTGTGTTGTTATTAAGAAACCACAAACACTCCTCTTGTGTGCTCACAGTTTAAATGTAGAGATGAGTAAAATACAAGTTGGAATGTAATGAAGAAGAGAGCACCATTCCTGGAGACACAAATAGAAATAGGAGGCAAGGAGTTTTCTAGGAAAGGCGCAGGTAGGCGAACCCTACCTTTTAGTCTATAGGTTAAAGGTAGCTCCAAACCAAGAGTAGGTGGGCAAAGTTTGTCCTGAACAGCAAGAAATCACCTTTCTCCCTGTCACCCCTTCTACCTCCCAGCCCCAGCCCCTAAGGCCTTCATGCCCCACCCCCCCTCCCCTTTGGGCTTTCCCCATGATTCAGACCTTTCCTGTATTAACCATCCTTTTCCATGCTTATCTGTCTCAGGTGGCTCATGAATATATCCTTTGCTAATTTATTAATGAATGCCATAGATTATCAGTTGAACCCGGGTAATACGCCAACCTTTCATTTATTTAAACTTTTATAGATTGTCTACTACCCAAAAAGAAATGAGGTATTTACCAACAAAAACCAATGATACAACAAAACAGATGACGAAAACCCAAAGACAAAAAGAAATCCAAATCAGTTCATTAAGGGGGGTATGAAGGGCAATAACGAAATCTTAAAATTGCTTAGGTCAGCTACCAGTACCGCACCCAAACCCGAAGAGTTAGCTTCATGATTCCTGATATTCAAAGCAACCAAGGAAACAGCTGCACACTTTGATTAATTTTAAGAAGATACGTGACTTAGAAAAACCACATAACCTCTTAAATGTCTCGGTTTCCCCATTTATAAAATGGGAGATATAATATCTACCTTATTTACTTCATATAGATCTTACAAGGGCTAAATAAATATATATGAAGTGTTTGGAACAGTGAAGACACATAGTAATTGTTACAGGTGTTGGCTACCATTATTACTATTGGTATTATTATTTCATCATTGTAGATGAATTTTCTTGTCCCTAAACACTGAAAAAAAATGAATCAGAGAGACAGTACAAATATAATTCATAATATTCCTGGTAGTAATTTTCCCCAAAACACAGATCTGCTCAACAAATAGCTATTTCTTAGATTAAATCTGCATAGCCATGGGCATACAGTTTAAATTATTGAATGATCCCTCAACTTTTCCTATTAATTTCCAGAAGTCCTCTCCTTGTTGGATAAGAGGGCTTCTACTGCATGTCTTTTTTTTTTTTTTTAAAGATTTTATTTATTTGACAGAGAGAGACACAGCAAGAGAGAGAACACAAGCAGGGGGAGTGGGAGAGGGAGAACAGGCTTCCCTCAGAGCAGGGAGCCCGACATGGGGCTCGATCCCAGGACTCTGGGATCACGACCTGAGCCGAAGGCAGACGCTTAACGACTGAGCCACCCAGGCGCCCCTCTACTGCATGTCTTAATCACAGATGAAACAAGTGACATGTGGACAGGTAAAGTAGCTACACTTGATTAGCTCTCCTCCCGACTTCTAACTAAGGAAGAGAGAAAAGCAAAGGGTAGAGTTTAAAGCCCAGAAAGGAATAGCAAATCTGGGCAGTAGGTTGATGGAAGACTGTAGCACCTGGGAGTGTAAGGAAAGCGGTTCCAAAAAGCAGGGCAGACATTCAAGAAGACGGTAGAATTTTCACTTGTTCTAAGGCTGATCCTACTCAAGCCAAGAAGAAAAGGAGTGATTTCAGAGACTTAGGTTAAGGGATCCACTGAAATATGGGTAGGGGTAAAAAACTGAGGGGGCTTAATCCACTCTTTCAAGAAGAAGTCAGCTCTCGCAAAGAACACAGTAGACTAGATGTTTCTGCTTTTTAGTTGTTTGAAATGGGATAAAGGAGTAAAACATAGATCAGATTAATGATTTGAACAATTAACTATTGCGACTTGAAAGCCACACAGAATGTGAGACTCCTGAAAGGGTGTCAGTGGATAACTATGGAGATGCATTCACTCATTTATGCAGAAGAGTGATTTCTAGTCAATGGATTCCTGGCTCTGACAGCTCTCTTCTGCGGTAGCCCTTTTGAGTCGAAGGCGGAAAGGATCCCAGCATTGGAGCCCTTAGCTGAAGTACCAAGGTCTCCTGGTGGGAACTCAGTCCAGGGATAAACTGCCTTTTGCCTTTCTACAGGAATATTTGAACTAATTATGTGAGGCAAAGGGACAACATAGCCAAGAAAAGGCACCCATGTTAGCAGGAAAGTAGCAGCAGAATAAATTTAAGAAGAGACAGAAACAACAGAATTTTGGGGCGCCTGGGTGGCTCAGTCATTAAGCGTCTGCCTTCGGCTCAGGTCATGATCCCAGGGTTCTGGGATCGAGCCCCGCACTGGGCTCCCTGCTCGGCAGGAAGCCTGCTCCTCCCTCTCCCACTCCCCCTGCTTGTGTTCCTTCTTTCGCTGTGTCTCTCTCTGTCAAATAAATAAATAAAATCTTAAAAAAAAAAAAAAAAAAGAGAAACAACAGAATTTTGTAGTGGTTTAGGAGAGGAACAAAAGGATTTAAAAAAAATAACTATTCTGTCCTTCTTCTGACTGCTTTCCTTTTTCTTTTAATAAGACTAAAGATGAATGGCTTATTTAGTCAGTTGAAAAACAGTGCCATAGGACCTGGGGGTGGACACAATGGAGAGGGAATATGGCGCGGATAACTACTTGGGGTTTAATGGGCTTTGGAACCTCTTTGCATGGCTGCCAAAGTTCCATTTTACATATAAGCACTTGCCTGCTTTTCAAGACTATCGAAAATGAAGGAAGAGTAAAGCTCCTTTGAACACTAAAACTTTCTCCCTGCATTCCACATTCACCCTACTGTGTTCTAATACCAATGGCAATTAATTCAGCTGGAAGCCCTAGGCTGCTGCTTTTCTTTTTCTCTCCCTTTGGCACCCCAAGGACCCCAATAATTTTGGAATGGAGAGCTCTGGATTTTAATGTATTGATGCGGGTATTTCCTCCCACAGCCACTGGTGCTTTATTTTTTTAAAAAATTAAATACATGATAGAGTCAGAGAAAATTTAATTCACAGAGATAGAAACCTAAAGACAACTGAAGAGATCTAGTATGCAAATCCATACCAAAAATGACCCACTAATAGTTCTCATATATGTATTTATGTACAACATTTTTTTCTTCCAAAAATTACAACTACATTTGGTAGAATTAAAAAGAAGTAAAAGAACTAAAAGCAGGAGAGGTTTTCACATACCCATGTTTTCCTTCGATAAGGCATCATCTGAACAAACATTTTCAAAAGAGAATTTAAAAATAGCTTTCCTAGAAAAAGAATTTGACAGATTTAGTTTCAAAAGAGCAATCATATATATTTAAGTGGCCATTTGTATATTCATTGATAATTATAAATTATGAATATATTTCTTTATCTTGAGGTAAGTCTCCTTGGTTGTTTTATACAGTAAGACAGCATGATACAGTGAAAAACCAAAGGGAAATAATATTGATCTGAGCTCTCACTAGGTGAAAAGCACTAATGACCCACCAAGTACCTTATATAGGCTTTTTCATGCAATCCTCCCCCAGAGAACCTACTAAGGAATTGCTACTCTGATTTTATAAAGAAACTGAGGCTCTGAGAAATTGAGAAATTTGACAACGTAGGAAATGGTTGAACATGACACAGCTAAATTCTGTCAGACTGCAAAATCCATGCTTTTCCCACAACACTGTGTTGCTGACTTAGAGAACATTTGTTCAAATGCATTTTCTCTAACCATAAGATCTTGAGAAAGCCACTTAGTTTCCCTAAGTCATAAGTTTTTCACCTTTTAAATAGAGATGATTATGATACATCCCCTACCTATTTGATGGGGTTATTGTGAAGTATAACTAAGATAAGGCAGTAAGGCCTTTTTAAAAATTTAATTATTCATCCTCTGAAGAAGGACAAAGAATAAGAGAAGGACTATCATATCAGAGTCAGACTTTGTCTTTGAGCAGGACTCCTTTAATACAGCACTGATTACAAGTCATCAAAAAAATAAGTAAATTAACTGTGTGGTTGGTTCAATGATAAACACTAAAACTTGTCATCGGTGGCTTATCAGTTCATTATAAAGGCCTGTTTCTGGTTTGCACTATTTTTAAACCAAACACCTGCTTCTCATCTGCTTGCTCACATGATATTAATCTTTGATAGTTCTGCTTCAACATATCTGTATAAACATAAAACTTTCTCCATACTTCTAAAACTACTACTTATCACCTTAATTCTTTTAGAAAATTTTAATGTTTCCCTAGAGAAAAAGAATCAAGAATCAGGGGGCAATGTCATAATAACTAAATTATACACACACACACATACACACACACACATATATACACATTTCAATTTTATCATAATATTTTTCAATAAAGAAATACCTTTTCCTTCTTCTAAAGTTTGGCTTCTTCTTTTCAGTAGTGTTTTTGGAAACTTGCATCTATAAAATAAAAACAAAAAGATGAGTTAGTTCAAATGGGACTAGATGAGTTCAGTAAGATAATGGGTCCTATATGATCCAAGTAATTTAGTCCAGAAGAAAAACTCTGGCCCACAGCTCTCAACCACACCTGGAACCCCAAGTCAACCACTTCATAGTCACTACAATTACACTGATCTGCTCAACTTCCAGGAATAGTAGACTAATCCAATGAGTGCCCATCTCCCATGTCCACCCCCTTCTCACTTCACAAACATATAATAACACTAGACAAAACAATCTTTATGTTTTAAAACATAGATGACCTTTAAAGAAAGAAAAAGAACTATTCAGATGCCAGAAACATAAGGGGTGCAACACTATATGGATAGGAAGTGACATGGTAAAGGCCTACAAAAAATGTATACCAGGATAGGGCCAAAAGGGTTTGGGATTTTAATATCTAAGCAAAGACGAGATGAAGGATGTGGAGAAATTGGCACCTCCATACATTGTGGGTGGGAACGTGAAATGGTGGAGCCACTTTGGAATACAGTTTGACAGTTTTTCTAGATGTTAAACAGAGAATTACCTTATGATTCAACAATTCTACTCCTAAGTATATACCCATGAGAAGTGAAAACATTATGTCCATACAAGAAATTGCATATAAATGTTCATAGCAGCATTATTCATAATAGCCCCAAAGTAGAAACAACCCAATGTCCATCGATGGATAGATAATATGTAGTCTATCCATACAATGGAATATTATTTAATCTTTAAAAACAACAAAGTCCTGACAAATACTAAAACATGGATGAATCTTGAAGCCATTATGCTAAGTGAAAAGTGAAAAAGTCAGACACAAAGACCACATGTTGTATGACACCACTTATACAAAATGTCCATAAAAAGGCAAATCCATGGAGACAGAGATAGATTAGTAGTTGCCAGTGGAAGGTGGGAAATGGGCAGTGACTGCTAATAGGTATGAGGTTTCCTTTGGGGTAATGAAAAAATGTTCTAAATTCATATAGCGGTATTGATTGCAAAACTGTGATTATACTAAAAACCACTAACTGCATACTTTAAAACCATGAATAAATTACATCTCAATAAAGGTATAATTTTTTAAAAAAATTGGTGACATGGAAAAATGAAAAGTAAGGAGATAGAATATATCAATGATTAACAAATGGAACCCAACATAGCGATATTACTGTTAGAAAAAAGCATAATCATAGATAAAAAGGGTTATTACCTAATGCTAAAAGAAACAATCCACCCCAGAAAGTATATCAGTCCTCACCTGTATATATCTAGAATCTCAGCCTTAAAATATATAAAGTGAAAAACAGAAAAGAATCACAAGTAGAAACTGATAAATCTACAGTTAAAAGGAGATATTTTAATTTACTTCTCATACAAAAATGAAAAAGAAAAAAAAATAGCAAAGAAACAGGAACATTCAACAACACAGATAATGTTTAATCTAATAAACACCTCTTGAACCTGGGACTGAATAATTAAGGAATACATATAGCTTTCAAGCCTGAAACATTTACAAATTTGACCACCTACTAGGTCACAAAGGAAGCCTCAAAATAGTAAAGTAACCTCTCTATTTTACAGACCACAGTCACTAGCTAAAATGCAATAAAATAAGAAATCAGGGGCGCCTGGGTAGCTCAGATGGTTAAGCGTCTGCCTTCGGCTCAGGTCATGATCTTGGGGTCCTGGGATGGAGCCCCACGTCGGGCTCCTTGCTCAGCGGGGAGTCTGCTTCTCCCTCTCCCTCTGCCTGCCGCTCTGCCTACTTGTGTTCTCTCTCTATCCCTCTGTCAAATAAATAAATAATCTTTAAAAAAAAGAAAGAAATCAAAACCCAAAAGATAGCTGAATAAAATCTGTAATCAATTCATAGATGTAGAAGAATTACATTCACCCATGAACCTACCCATGATAAGAGTTATGATCTATGTCATTTGGAATTATTGTGTCACATTTTAGTTATTGGTATACGTGACTTATTTTCTCACTGGGTAATACATTTGTCTCCATGCCATTCCTTGCACGCTATAGGAGCACGTGAAGTGTTTGTGGAATACATGAATGAATAAATGTTCAGAGAAAGATACAATAAAAACAAATATCACTAGGAAAAAACAGTGCCAGTGTTACTGTCCATTCTGTCCCATCGTGGCTGTTGATTTAAGCGTTTAACAAATTCATACAATTTGCCCTCATCTCCTAAGACAGAACCTCAATGCAACTTTCACCTCAATGTTAGCTTCTTTTGTCTTTTCACTTTAACCTGCTAAAGTGAGCAGTTTCTTAGCCCATTTTGTCTAATCTTTCACAGTTACACTGATCTTAATTTTACTGATCTTGAATCAAGCAACCACACTGCAAGGGTGGGAACAATTTTTTTTCATATATATTAAATGTTTAGCAGCTAGCAGAGTGCTATTCACATTGTATGTTCAAAAGCATTAACTATAATGAGATGAAGGTTGAATTTAATAACTCTCAAAGCATTATTAAACAGCTTAAATACCTCAATAACCATTCAAAAGAAGTTTGTATGAAACACTCAGGGAATTCATATTACGATGATGCTAAAAAATAAGTGGACTTTGTGTGTGTGTGTGTGATCTGCAACCACAAGGTTATATTCAAATATTTTTTCCAGCCCTGTTTCATATATATATACATGAAAGTAAATAAAGTAAAAAAGCATATGGAAATATTATTGTCTAAGTCATTGTTCTACATCTCCAAAGACAATGTAGAGCTATTATTTCTATCTTGTTATTAAGGATCAATTTAAATTATGTGCATATTTGAGTATAAAGTGAAAGGGTTGCTACAAGGGGAAATAAGATTAAAGTAACAAAGTACAAACCACTTCATAGGTATTAATAGAAAGAAATACTGTTAAATAGCTACCATAAATCAGGGAGATTTCTGTTAGAGATAATAAATTCCTTTCTACTTTGTTAAATATTCCATAGCAGCCAAAATGAAGTAGTCAGTATTGCCAAATGCCCCGTAGTTTCCAGCTCCAAGCCTTGATAAAATATGCTATGATGGAGAAGAGCACTGAATTTGGAATGACAGGATCATGATTTGAATTTAATCCCTGGTACTTACTAGCTGTATCACTTCCGGTAAGTCACTGACTTACCAGAATATCTAGCAAGAGCCTGGTATAAAGTAGACACTTAATAAGTATTTTCTGACTAAACGACCATTCTGTATTTCAGGACCTTCTTTTATAACTACTGTTAAAAAATAACTATCTCAAAGCTTTTGGGGGTAAGATAAAATTAAATAACATCCCAGAAGGTATCTAACAGTGCTCAACAATTAGTCAATGTTCAATCATTGTTTAACCCGTTATACTAGTCCACTGGGCTAGTGTCAGAATTCTATCCTTTTTCCTTAGAGCATATGACAGAACTTGGCACTTTGTTATGGTTGGACTTATGGTAATCCATTAGTTTCCCAAGGCTGCCATAACAAATTAACACAAATTTGATAAAGCATCAGAAATTTATTTATTTATCGTTCTGTAGGACATAAGTTTGTCTCTTATGGACAGACCCTTAAAGATACTTGTCATTGGATGTGGGCCCAACTAATCCAGGATGATCTCATATCAAAATCCTTACCTTAATTACATCTACAAAGATCCTTAATTCCAAATAAGGTCACATTCTGAGGTTCCTGGAGAACGTATTTTCTGGGGGCTACTATTCAACCCACAAGTAGATACTATAATCTTTATCTATTTCATCCCTTCCACTTCTCTTCCTGTGTTGCAGCTGATTTTCCCATGTTGTCGAGCCTCATGCTATTCAGAGTCAGGGCCGCCACGTGCAGAATTAGCAATACCTGAGAGTTTGTTAGACATGCAAATTCTCATGCCCATCCTAGGCCTACCGAATCAGAAACTCAGGGAGTGGGGCCCAGAAATCCATATTTAAATAAGTTCTTCAGGTGATCTATACCCCAACTAGAGTTTTCTAGGCCTTGGTCTAGCCCACACGCATCCATACAAATATAATGCTATATACTGTCATTGATTTTAAAGAAACCAAAGCAAGTATTAATTCTTTTCTTGCTAGATATAGAGGAATCTACGAGAAGCATATGTATAGAGAGCAAATGCCATTTACTGAAAAAAATATATATATTTATTCAATGATAATTAGGACTGCTGACTGGAATGGCAAATGGTAGAATTGCCCTTAATTGCCACAGACAGATAATCCATAAGAATTGTGTTTACATCAGATTTATATAATCTTCAGAAAGTGACCTGACGTTGCCCATATCCTTAAGTCACTATTCATCTAAATGAAAATAACTTTATTTTTAAGAAGAACAACTGTTAGCTGTGTTAAATCTGAGGGCATAACATTTTGATTCAGCATTTTATGCTCATAGAAGACATAAATATGTTTTGTAACATTCCATTGAGAGTAATTGTCAATCAATGATCACTAAAGAGCTGCCTACTTTGACAGAATTTCCAAACGTGAATCTGTGTTTTGAATAATAGACACAAACTCCTTGTCAAAAGTTATCATATAGAAGGAAAAGCCAATATTCTTATTTCCCTTTGGAAAATCTGCTGGGAAAATATGCTTGGAATAAGGATGAAAACTAGTTTTATGCAGCATTGTAAATGATGGTTATTACTTAATCTGAGTTTCCGGAGAGTACAAATAATAAAGTTAAGTTTTCAGGCCTAGATAATGATTGTTTTCACTCTTCTTTGAAAAGGGAGAAAATTAAAATAATCATTTTCTAGCCCTATTTTAAACAAGATTTTAACACAGAGAATACAAATCTAGTGCTTCTTACATAAATGTCACTCGATTACCATATGCTCCAGTCCAGTCGCTCTTAGTAGAGTTCAGTATTCCTGCGAGATTTGAACAATATCAGAGATCAGTCCCTGGAAATATGACTTATAAATATCTTGCTGTCCCCTGCACTATCTTTAGCCA